TTCGGTGAGCTTCTTCAGACTAGGTAAAGCTCATTCTCGCTCCATGAGCATATGCACTGAGCTGCCACTTCTGAAGGAAAGTTGTGAATTAATAATAACTAATTCAATTGCATGCACTGAGTCGTGCAAAATGTCAGATTTTATTGCAATTATTACAGAAACAGCGGGGCAAGTAGCCATATTGAGGGTTAGCAATATTTTCAACTACCTGGTCACATGCATATCATCCTGATTATCAGCAAATTCACAAGTAGCCAAGTCTCTCAAAGCAGCAATGTAGTGCACTACTGTTTATCATTCCCCTGTGCACATTTTCTGAAAGCATGTCTTTCTGCCATACGTTTCAAACATTGTCTAAAATATTACAAGCTAGCTGTTGTAACTTGTAGGGTAAGATGCCCTCGGGGAAAGATGACTCCTCTATTTTCATTTTTTTCACCCTCCCCTCTTGAATTGGCACAGGGGGCCCAAATGTGTTGTTAATAGTGTTATTATTTTTACATTTAATGCTTACTGTAATTTATTAGGTTATTATTCACTAGATGTGCATTTCAGACACACACACACACACACACACACACACACACACACACGTTAACTGAGTGAAATAATTCACTTTGAATTGAACCAGCAAATGTTTTTATTTATTTCCTTTAATAACACATTGGCAGATGCGTCATCAACCTTTTTTCATTCATCCAATTAAAATGAGGGCCTTATGGCAAGTTATTTATTTTTCATTGGCTCAAGTTAAAAAATATAGATGTGAATCATTACCCTAAATTTTTTTAATTGGATGAATGAAACATTTTTTTCAGTGTGCACGTGCTAAACTAACATCTAAATGTGTTACAATTTCTATGTAAATGTACCTTGTTCTTTAAGGGGGGCATCTCCGCCTGATAGATATTTGAAATATTGCTATTTAATATGGTAAAGCACAGAAGAAGATTGTTAAAGTCAGCAGGATGTCGATATGATTTTTAAACCTCAATATGCGTCCTTTTAATCATGGCATAATGCACCTGATCAAATAGCATTTAGGCTTAATTGTTACTTCATCTGAATGTTATACACCAAAACCTTACAGATATCATAATCCTCAGTATGATCCCACGATGAATGACTAACTTACATTTAAAAACCGTATACTCACATAAAGCGATAGGCTATATCAACTCTGTTCGATCGTTTATTCTGTTTCTCTAAACTGCTCATGGTGGACTGTATACGGCATTACTGTGTTATGAATATTAACAAAACATTAATATTATGAATGTCTGTGGAACTACTTCGAGTGCACGATGCTGTAGAGCGTTGGAGAGGACAACTGTGCGTGTAAATGTGCATTCCTCTTTTAAAAGATAGAATTCCTCATTAAATGGCAATGAAATAAAATTAAAAAAATGAAACTGACAAGTGATGTCTTGAAAATGCACAATTACAGAGCTGGACCTGTTTTGAAACACGAGATATTTTGCTGTTAAAAAATAGTTAAATCCAACCAAAAGAATCATTTTGCATGCAATGCCTTATGAATCAAGAAAAGCATTTCAAAATATAAGTCTAAGATAAAGTTGCTGCCTGGTATTGAAAAGGTTTTATTTATTTATTTTTGTATTAAATAGCCTAATGCCGCTTAGTCTGCTCCCCTCAACACATGACATTTGCTAACAAATAGCACCACCTAATTTCACAAAAATGATCTTATAGGAAATAGACAGCTCGTTGGATATTTACATGCTTGGAAAACCATACAAAACATTAATATAATGTAGTATTGGTGCATTATTCCTCTACAACCATATAGCTTCGCTTGTGCTCTGTTCTCCTCAGGACAGGGGCACATGCTGTCTCTCTGTTACTCCTCTCAGAAAATGATGCCACATTACGAAGACCTATAAATCATTAAAGTGGTCTCAAAACAGGTTTCAGTTCAATAATTCATTTAATAGACCGAGCTACACGTGCTAAACTAACATCTAAATGTGTTACAATTTCTATGTAAATGTACCTTGTTCTTTAAGGGGGGCATCTCCGCCTGATAGATATTTGAAATATTGCTATTTAATATGGTAAAGCACAGAAGAAGATTGTTAAAGTCAGCAGGATGTCGATATGATTTTTAAACCTCAATATGCGTCCTTTTAATCATGGCATAATGCACCTGATCAAATAGCATTTAGGCTTAATTGTTACTTCATCTGAATGTTATACACCAAAACCTTACAGATATCATAATCCTCAGTATGATCCCACGATGAATGACTAACTTACATTTAAAAACCGTATACTCACATAAAGCGATAGGCTATATCAACTCTGTTCGATCGTTTATTCTGTTTCTCTAAACTGCTCATGGTGGACTGTATACGGCATTACTGTGTTATGAATATTAACAAAACATTAATATTATGAATGTCTGTGGAACTACTTCGAGTGCACGATGCTGTAGAGCGTTGGAGAGGACAACTGTGCGTGTAAATGTGCATTCCTCTTTTAAAAGATAGAATTCCTCATTAAATGGCAATGAAATAAAATTAAAAAAATGAAACTGACAAGTGATGTCTTGAAAATGCACAATTACAGAGCTGGACCTGTTTTGAAACACGAGATATTTTGCTGTTAAAAAATAGTTAAATCCAACCAAAAGAATCATTTTGCATGCAATGCCTTATGAATCAAGAAAAGCATTTCAAAATATAAGTCTAAGATAAAGTTGCTGCCTGGTATTGAAAAGGTTTTATTTATTTATTTTTGTATTAAATAGCCTAATGCCGCTTAGTCTGCTCCCCTCAACACATGACATTTGCTAACAAATAGCACCACCTAATTTCACAGAAATGATCTTATAGGAAATAGACAGCCTCGCTGGATATTTACATGCTTGGAAAACCATACAAAACATTAATATAATGTAGTATTGGTGCATCATTCCTCTACAACCATATAGAGACACGTTGAAATGTTATTTATTTGAATGCATCTACAAGTCACTGAGATTCGCTTGTGCTCTGTTCTCCTCAGGACAGGGGCACATGCTGTCTCTCTGTTACTCCTCTCAGAAAATGATGCCACATTACGAAGACCTATAAATCATTAAAGTGGTCTCAAAACAGGTTTCAGTTCAATAATTCATTTAATAGACCGAGCTACAGAGAGCTCTACAAATGATGCTGCTCCTGCAAATATAACACTAATAAACACCTGCTGGCAAAACATTACTGCATCTCTGGAAAGACCATTTAGGCCATATATAACCTGACATAACAACTTTATATAATGATAAAGTAATGAGGAGCTACTAATAACAAGGAGGAAAAGAGAGATTGTTTGTAAATACAAAGAAATATATCTCTTAGTAATGTGTTTTAATGTACGCCAAGTAAATGAATGGAGTTGGAGAAATCCTGACAATGTGGTGAATGGGTGCGCGTATATAAAATACTTCATCAAGGTCGTATATATAGGTTTGGACTGAGGTTATAGGGATGGAGCCTCGTATTTGGAGCCTAACCCTAACGCCAAATAAAAACGAAAACTCGTGGTATTGATACGCAAAAATAGACTTTGGCGTGTATATACTACGCACGTGTTTGGCGTGTATATAATACGCAGTTTTTGCGTGCATATGATACGCATCTACCCCACAACCCTAATCCTACCCATCGCGTAGCATATGCACGCCAAACTACTATTTATACGCACTTTCATGAGATTGGGTTAGCCTCAGCTCTCTCGAAAAATCAAAGTTAAGAAATGTGTATTAGGCTATCGATTACGAAACAACATCTTGTTTAAATGTTTTTATATGAAATACAAATGTAGCAGTGGTGTGGCTAGTGATCTATAAAACAGTGAGCAGGCTATCCGTTGCAGAGTGCGCGTGGATTCCGCAACAGGTCACATAATAGACCCAGCTGACTCCGGGGCGTGCTGGCAGATGGTTGGTGTAAGCCGGGTGTGTGTGTGTGTGTGTGTGTGTGTGTGTGTGTGTGTGGGTGGGTGGGTGGGGGGGCTCACATTCATTGTTTAGTTATTTGAGCCCCACGCACAGACAATAACCCCATCCAGTAGCAAGAAAAGATGGAAAAGCTTCTTCTTACACAGAGGAAATGGTCTAAAAAAAGTTGAGAAGAATCTCATTGTTTTGGCCGTCTGCTGCTTTCTACCCGCAGATGTCAGTCGTTCAAACTCATTTACTATTCGTTTCTCTTTGTAATAGATGCATTACGTGCTTTTTCTATTCTAAATAATTTAGAAAATCGTCCTAAAAACAAACAATGAGCATACGTAGCGAGTACAGTCTTGTAAATCCATGCAACACATTTGACTATAATTTCAAATTTCGTTTCCAAAGATGTGTCCTGTTTGTTTGTAGCAGCTAATTTGGCAACTGATGCGCTTTAAAAATAAACTAGTGCATGAACTGAAAATTAATTTCTAAATAAATAAAACTTTTTCCATTTTCCTAAGCGATGTCCTTTGAATATAGGCTATTCCAAACAAACAAACAAACACACACACACAGTCAGCTCCCGCAAGAACGCCTAGGACTTTCTTATTATTCCGGCTTCGGGTTCGCCCCTCCTCTTTTCCGAGCTCATTCACACTGTGGGTCCCTGCAGCATCATCTTATCCGGCCACGACCCATCCTCCGCAGTTACAGCACATCACCTCTTCAGAGCATCTTGTGGATGGTTCAGCTGCTACCCCGAGTGGCTTTATATCTGCAGACGTTGTCCGGGCAGTGAGTGGTGCTCCTGCGGAACAGGTGAGCGACAGGTAATGTTCAGTTTGAATGGATCTCGAAGAAGGGCAAATATACGCCAAGACAGCACGTTTCCCAAAAACTTAGAAGAAGAAGCACGGAGTAGCTAACTCGCGGACTATCTCGGAGAATCTCGGTATTGTAAAAAACTGGGGCCACATCTACTGAGTGCTACGCAGAATTGTGGATTTGCACAGGAGGTTGCCTTGTCATTGCAAACTTGTTGTAAATGTTTGGGAGCCAAGATCACCCGGCTGGAAACATCACTGGGTTTAAAGTGGGAAGTTTTGAAGAAGAAATGGATCCTGTTCGTTCTTGGGTGCGGAATGTCGGCGTTATTGACGCAAACACAGCGGCACAGAGGTAAGGCTGCTCTGCACTGATGCACACTACAATCTTTTCATTAGTGCATGCATGTAAAAACACCACCTAAAGATTTCTAAATTATTAACTGTCCAGTCCTCTGATTATAACCGAAACAGCACACGACACAGATGTTAAACTATTTATTTACCATCCAAAATAACAGAGCATACATTTAGGATTAAAATACATATCAGTCTAAATATGAGTTGTCGAAATATTTCTCTTCAATAGCACGTGCGTTATTATTTTTTATATGTAGGCTATACTATTATTAAGTAGGCTATATTAGTAGTATTCTATTCTATTAGGCTACTACTTAACTGTAAGAGGATCTTTTGTTTTCTATAGCATTGCAAAAATAACTAGCAACAGGTCAGCTCTTCTGCTTCAGAGCTCGGTCTTCAATAGCTGGAGGTGACAGAGTCACGAGCCGACTGAAAGATGCACACAACACAACACAATGACACCCGGATTGAGTCATGATGAAATTACCCGTGCACTTGAACACGATTGTTTGTGACCTCCTTCCTTTTCATTCCTTGCTCCTATGAAGAGAAGACTAGCATCATATTCTTTAAGGATCTGTTTAATTCTTAATCTGAGGCACTCAAAATCAAATGATTAAAAGTGGACTGTCTGCAGTGGTGATAACACTTCTGATAAGTATCTTAATATGAACGAAAACACACACATCTAAAGTTTTGATCGATTTTTTCCCCCTCTCTGATTTCATAATTCTATAGCCTAAATTAATCGATATTAAGAGAGCTGCGTTTCCGCAAAACACCCGAAGTATAGAGACCACTCACGCGGCCATAGACAGCTGTTTGTTGTTAGACATACATCTATATGAATAATTATTCATTAGCTGTCAATTTGCTTTCTGAACTGCAGTGCATTTGAGCTTTTTTATTAATGTGCATTTTCATTATTTATTCAAATGATCTATTATTAGAACAATTACAACTGATTTGTTGGACATAAAAAAGTGCATTGCTAGCAATGTGTCTTTATACTGATATTGATACTGATACTGCTGCAAACACAAAAGTTTGTTCCGATTTAACTTTTCTTCAAAGATTTAGCTTTTACATTTTTAAAAATGTAAGAACTTGTCATCGAATCCGGTGAGAGTAACTAACACAATCTGAGCAAGACAACTGCTAAATTATATAGGCTTTTCCTAATATTTTTATTATGCTCAAAATAAGCTTTGTAGGCTTAACATAGTTGCTGTTTTCAGCAAGACTAGGTTATAAAGATTCAGACACAAGCAGTTTTAGTAGTGCAGCATTCAGTGGAGATTCAGATGTGGAAGTATCTTGCATTAATATCTTGTCAGAGACTGTTGAGTTTAGTGGATGGTATTGTATCAGTTTATGGTCAGTTGAATTGAACTGTGAAAATCAAGCATCTGTGTTTATTCTCCCAAACCCTGCACCTGTAGTGGAGTGGCCTTATCCCGTGCTCACTTTGAAAAGCAACCTCCCTCCAATCTCCGAAAGTCCAACTTCTTCCATTTTGTTCTGGCGCTCTATGACCGCAATGGGCAGGCCGTGGAAGTGGAGAGGACAGTGTTTGTTGACTTCGTGGAGCAGGACAAGGTATATTCTAACAGCATGCTTCACGGGACTGAACATTACTGGATTTCTGATGATGTTTCCTACAGTTTAACGTTGAGTTAAAGCTTGAGCTTGGCGAGAGGAAATAGCATGTGAGGAATATTTGCAATGCAGGAAAATTAGAGAAGCCACTCTTGTACTCTACTCAACTTGATGCATCCATTTTTCATGCCTCCTCTGTGCTGTCTTGACTTAATGCAAATTCTCAAACTCTAAAAAAAGCACCTCGTTTTTTATTCGCTTTAGTACTATTCTCACAAGTGGCAAATTTAATGTTTGTAATCTCTTCAGTGTGTTATCAAAGTTACGATATGACACAGCCGTGGTAGTCTCTACTATAGTAAGGCCTCAGTTTACAGTATCACATGGCATACTGTAATGTAAAATGCCTGTATATGCATTTAACATCACAGTACAACTATCTGTCTGATCCATCAATCTGATGGTTAAACTGAACGAGAAGAGATGCAAACAAAATCATCCGCTTCTGAGTGGTATAAATGCACCAAAGTCATATATTGCACCATTAGTACCTTGTGCTTTGTAGACATCACTCAATCGTGAACTGCATGCTGTACGCTTCTTTAAATGCTAATTTTGCGTAATCAGAATTCTTTGTTCTTGCCATGTCTGTCCTTGCTACTCTTCTGAGGAGCAGACGGGGGAAAAGACCAATAATGGAGCTCACTACAAACTCCAGCTCCTCTACAGTAATGGTATGCCCCTCATTTCTCATCACATATGTAAATATTTATGTGCGTTTAGATATGATTCTGTCTGTTGGGACATATAGCAATCAACATTTAGTTTGTGCAGCACAAAAAAAAAGATAATAATAATTAGGTGATCCTATTATGCATTAAATGAACATTTAAAATTCGTATTTTTGTTTTCTTAACGAAAGAACTGATTCTACTCTCTCCTGCTATTTGACCCGATGGAAATGTGGTTCCAAATTTAAGTCACAATCGGACACATTTTTGTTCACAGGTGTCCGCACAGAACAAGACTTTTATGCACGTCTCATTGATTCTGTCACTAAACAGGTAAAGCAGCACCACCTTTTTCTGAGCTAAACGTCTTTTAGTCGCAAGAAACACTTTGTTAATTTTGCTCTATATTGAGTTGATGACTTCTGTTCTGCATGGTCCAGCCCATATCGTATGAGGGACAGAACAAGAATCCAGAAATGTGCCGTGTTCTGCTTACTCATGAGGTCATGTGCAGGTGAGAAAAAACACAATCAAATCTATATATCTGCAAGGTGCAACTTAGAAAGCATGCAGCAGATTCAGTTTGCTATATGATGACCCATACTCCAGCCACTTTTAGATCACAGCTCTACCTACACTCTTAAAAATAAAGGTTCTTTATTGGCATTAATGGTTCAAAGAAGAACCATGAAGAGCATTTATAGAACCAAAGTGCAAAAGGTCCTTAATAGTGGAGAAAGGTTCTTCAGATTATTAAAGTGTTCTTCACACTGAGGGAAAAAAAAAGTTATTTTAGGAACTGTTCACTGAAAGGTTTTTTAGCATAAGTAATGTTAACAATGATTACCTATCATAGGACAAGGTCACAGCCCCTCATAATTAAGGGAAGGTACACAAATATTGGAAACGTATAGATGAGCTCTACAAAATATTGAGTAACATTGATTTATGACTGTTTTCGGACCCTGGAGAAGACATTTGCTCAGAACACCCCCAAATGAATCCACTAAAATGTAGTAATAATGCACATTGTCTTGTCTTAGGTAACAAGAACGTATTTCTAGAGTCAGTTTCACACTAATGGCACAGTCACATTAATGACATTTTGCAGGAAAAACACGTAAAAGTTACTTTCATCAAACCCGGGCAAATTTGCACGGCCAACTTGAACACGAGCAAAATCTGTGTGGGCAAAATCTTTCACCTTCACACAAAGTTCCTAATTGCGGATGCTTATTGAAATGGTTGAATTTCACAGAACAACCGTAAACGTGACCTGCAATGATCACTTAAGAGTGTCCACAGACTAAATATCATGAATGAAATGATTAATAACGCACATTTTCTGTACAGATTTAACACAAGTTAATGTCTATAAGGAGTGCATGGTAGCTGGGCTAGAAAAGAGACAGAAAAGACAGAGGGTTTGTGGTGACCTCAGGCTCGAGGACAGCATTAGGGAGGGCAGGGGTCCCCATTGTGTAGCCAGCAGATGCCCGAGTGGGCGCTCACAGCTGGTTAATAACAGAGCTGATGGGGAAGGGGGTGCAGAGGGCAGTGACACAGCTGGGGAGTGACTCTGTCTGACGGGTGGGGGGGGGAGAGAAAGCATATAGGCAGATGGCCAGGGGTGGGGGGCACTTTTGTTATGCTTGAGGGGGGGGATTGGGCCCTGAACAGACAGGAGGTGTGTGTGTGTGTGTGTGTGTGTGTGTACCTGTTTTTCTTTTCTGGTGGGGACTTAAACCTGAATACACACAGACTCATGGGGACTCGTGTCACAGTAGGGACCTAAATTGAGGTCCCCACGGGTAAACCTGCTAATAAATCACACAGAATGAAGTTTTTTGAAAATCTAAAAATGCAGAAAGTTTCCTGTGAGGGGTAGGTAGGGGGGTAGGGTTG